GTGTGGTTGTAGGCAGCTCTACGTGAGGATCTTGTGGTGTTTTGGGCTAAGGCCCTCATGGCTGTGACTCACACACGGTAATGGTGTGTTAACACTTACAATCTCACACACTGAGGAACTCTGTGTGGCCAGCACTGCAATATGACACAATAATATCAGGACATCTCAAGAGCAAGATATGTTTTTAAAGGTGCGTTTGATCTGAAAGGAAAGACTAAATAATATGATCTGATACCAGCGCCCTGCCCTGCTGACGAGATTGGCTGAACTCCAGAAAGAGCAGCGAGACCAGGACACAACACAAAACCAGCTCTTAATTTCCAGTAACTGTAAACCTACACGTCAAGATCAGAGCTTGTAACTAGACACAAGCTCACACATCAAAGTATCTCAATCGCAAGATATTAGTAAATAATCACTTATAAATTCTTGACTTTCCTTCGTGCACCATGCCTTGGGCGGTAACCGGGGGAAGTCCGCTGGTTAAGAGTGGAAAGCCGCTCATAGATTTATTTATCAATTTAATCAACGACAAAGAGCTTCTGAACAGACGGCCAGAGCTATATCTATAACATTTATTTGATAAATATTCAGAAATAATAGCAAAATGCAATAGTGTTCTGTTAAGAGACCACATTTCAGTATTTACTTAAACTCCATTTACTTTAAATTTACGAAACCAGTCCTTATGTTGCAGTCCCAAAACCGTTATCGAGCTGCGTCATGTCATACTGTACATACAGTATACCAATAAACCAATAAATCTTTGTTTTTAAAGCTATATAAATTAACATAGCCTACACATTTACATTCCTTCTCAGGTTTATGAAGCGCAACCACAAAATGGAGTTAAATATTGAGTGAATAACACACGTCCAGTAGTAATGGTCTCAGACAATCCTTTGAACGTTTTACATTGGCTTGCAATTGTATTGCTGTAGAAGTTCAGCCACCAACATACGAAAAAAGTAATATTTCAGGACAACAACCTACCTTATGATCATTTTATTAACTTATTTCCTTTCAGATTTCAAGAGAGCTCAGTGGATCAGCACCGCCAAGTACCTTTCTGTGACCGACCGTCACCCCGAGAAGTGATTGGATGATCTTTCGGGTTCAGCCCTCCTTTCGTGACTGTTTGGAAATGGCCGTCCAATCAAACTCTCATCCTGTATAGACCATTTCTAGGCTAAATAGACCAGTCATTACTGACATCAAAATGATCCAATCACAGGTTGGGTGACGGTCAGAGTTCATTGATGAGTTTTTAAAGAAAGGGTTTAGTCCTGTCTCGGGCTGCAGGCTAACGAAACCTGCAGACTAACGAGTCTTTCTGGTGATGGATGGACATGTTTTATTCATCTCTTTATATTAATTGTGCCAGTCTTAATATATGATGTGCTAGGTCACAGAGCGGACCGATCCGCTGTAAACAGCCCGGAAATAAGCTGCCTATCTTGTGATGATGAGCTCTTCCTTGTCTCCCAACACAGCCGGAACTTCAGCACGAGTTGTGCTTTAAAAAAGCCAGAAAGCATAGAAACAAGTGAGGTTAAGAGACTAACTCACCATGGGAATTACTCAAAAATCTTTAACTCTATGATTTAGTAATTCTAAGGATGGTTTGGAGTGATAATGAAGTCCTTATTTAGTCCTTATTTATGATCTGTGTGATAAAATAGCCTATTCCTTTATATCCAGCTCTACTACAGTACAATACAAAACAAGATGGAGAATGAGAGGAATGTGGACAGAGGCTGATCCCTGATAAAATCCCTTAGAGAGTTCCTGATGCTGAGACAAACCTGCTGAGAACAGTGGCTGTAGGGGCTCTCGCTTGGCGATTCTGATTTTATACTATAACAAGTCTCATCTTACTGGTCAATTCTATAGCCTTGCAGGATCAACTGTGTAAAACAACCCTTTCAACATGTCTCTGGCCCAAGCTGTAGTCCCCACCTGCTACAAGACAACCACCATCATCCCAATACCTAAGAAAACCACAAAATAACACATATGCAAGACTACTATTCATCGACTTCAGCTCAGCTTTTAACATCATCATTCCAGAGAAACAAGTCAAGAAACTCAGTGCACTGGGTGTTGACACCACCCTCTGTACCTGGATTCTGGACTTCCTGACAGGGACACTCCAGGCTGTCAGGCTTGGAAACCACACCTCCAGCACACTTACTTTGAACCCTGGGGTCCCCCAGGGTTGTGTGCTTAGTCCAATGCTCTACTCCCACGACTGTAAGGCCAACTCCATCATCAAGTTTGCCTATGACACCACAGTTGTGTGTCTGATCACAGACAATCATGAGAGGGCCTACAGGGAGGAGGTCAATCTTCTTTCAACGTGGTGTGAAGACAACAACCTCACCCTCAACATCAGCAAAACCAAGTAGCTGATCGTCGATTTCAGAAAACTGCAAATAGGTCATGCCCCTATCCACATCAATGGGACTGAAGTGGAAAGGGTTAGTAACTTCAAATTCCTTGGTGTCCATATCACCGAGGACCTCACATGGTCTCTCAACACCACTTGTCTGATTAAGAAAGTGCAACAGCGCCTGTACTTCATAAGACAGTTGAAAAAGGCTAAGATATCTCCCCAGATCTTTACTACCTTTTACAGATGCACTATAGAAAGCATTCTGACAGGTTGCATCACAGTGTGCTATGGCAACTGGAGTGTTGTTGACTACAGTAAAGCCCTACAGCGGGTGATGAAAACTGCCCAGTCCATCACTGGGGTCGCTCTTCCATCCATCCAGGACATTTATGACAGACAATGCTTGAGGAAATAAGCACCATCAAAGACCCCACACACCCCAGCTACAGAACGTTTGACCCTCTACCATCTGGAAAACAGTATCGGAGCATTCGGGCCCAGACTACCAGACTCAGAGACAGTTTTTACCCCCGCACTATCAAACTATTAAACTCCCGGCCTCTCTCACCTACCATCTGAACCTCACAGTGCCTTCTCTCTTCATCAAAACTCAAACACACATTGAAATCTACCTCTACCTCACATGTCAAGAAGTTCGCTTCCCATATTTTTGAATCCTTTATTTCATTCTGTTGATGTATGATTTTGCACAACTGCTGTTTTGCACATTACCTGTTACAAGTTGTTGTTTTGCACATTGCCTGTTGTCTCTGTCTTTCTTTTCTTATACAATTGTACTTTTTGTTTTTTGTACTACTAACCATCTGAGAACTAGCTAAATAGCATTTCATTATACCATATACTGTACCTATGTATGAGTATAATGACAATGATCTTATGATCTAGTGATCTTATCTTTATCTTATAATGACAATAAACTTGAATTTGAACAACAGATTACCAGTTGAAGAATATGGGTAATATCTACCACTTAACTGAGAAAAATATCAATGAATATTCATCTACTTTCGATTCTAAAACTACTTTAGATTAGTTTTGTTTTATATTTATCATCTTTCATTAAGATATTCCAAAGCCCTGTACATAAACGATTGACAGAGATAAAAATATTCAAATCTAAGAGGTCCCAAAAATAATTCAATAAAACAGAATAGTTGATAGAATCAAGAGTATCGGAGAAAAAAATATTATTTTGTGACTCATGCCTTAGAATGACGATGGATTTGGAGACATTATTGCTCTTCCTCAATTCCCTCATGGAACACGGTCTTGATCTGGGATGGAAAGAGGACCAGAGATTGTTGATCGTACGTACAGTTTGGAGAATGAGACTGGACTTCAAGCACATCTTCCAGCTACATTGGACTGAGGCCATTCAAAAGCTTGCAAGTCAACAACAGGATTTTACAATCAGTGATACTGTATTTACTAGTTCACATGTGCTGGATTTAAAACTGAAACTGCAGAATGTGACTATTTAACTGAGAATCCATCAAGACCTGGACACCTGGATTCCGTACAGTATATAAAGTGCTGTAACTTATTTAAGGTGAAAGAAGTAAAACATGGATTGAGGTGAAGGAAATAGTAAAAAAAGAGCATTTAAAAACCAATTCTACATGAAAGAAAAATCTGCATTAATTTATCTGTATCAGACAAAAGAAGAGACTACAAGCAAGAAATAGTGTGCAACTGAAAGAACACTAACACCATGAATTCTACTGCTCAAAGGAAGATTATAACAATGCTACAGTAAATAATAAGGGTTCTAAGATAGATCCCAGTGGCATCGCTATACATACTGTACATACCTGAAAAGTCATAAAGCCACTAATCCGATTACATTGCTGTCGATTAAACAAATCAGATTTAAGCTGTCATAGGGCCTGATTGATTTGAAAGATTATCTTGATTGATGCTTAAGGGGTTTTGTGCATTTACTGGGACAATTATTAATCGTAGCAGTAAGTCACAAAATTATTCTTTGATGGCTATTAGAAAACCGACCTTGTGGAATAACTCAGCAACGCATACACACGGATACTAACACGTGACAATACATTTATTAATATATAAAATGTGCATATAAACATAACAGATCTTATAGTGAAGGTTAGCAGAATACAAAAGGTATATAGTCAATAACGAAGAGTTACAAATACAAAGAGAGACATACATTCAGTATACCATTCATTTTTACCGTTTTGTAAATTAACTTTGATTACAACACACTAGATACTCCAAAGCAAGTATGTCACTCATAGGAGTTAAATTTATATCAACTGGGGTTGAGGTAACAATTGAATTCTCGAGCTGTAAGGCAGAATGTTGAATACTCATCCAATCTATGTGGATTCAGATCTCCCGGGAAGACAAAGGAACAGCTACAGGCTGTTGCTGTGTCCAATCGGCGTCCTCTGGCCCAGTGCCAGGCCGTCCTGGTGCGGCGTGAGGTGTGGGAGTAGGATTCTGAGATTCATGCTGCGGCGTGCTGGCAGTGGGCTCTCTGAAGACCAGCTTGTTAGTTTTGGCTGAACTAGCACAGTTTGTGCACATGAAAAGTGACTGCGGGTCCAAGCAAATCACACTCTTTAGACGGGAATAAGACCGGTTCGTTCCTGATGTAATGCTAGTCCTGAATACTGAGATTCAGCTGTCTATAGTTCTGACCGTAGTTCACTCATTGATCAGGCGAGCTTTTGCGGTGGGGTACCGGCCCCCCACTGGGAGGTTAGCCCAGCAGGTTTGCTGCTGGGCTAACCTCGGGCTGATCCTTTGGTTACACGAGGGTGACCTCTGATGTTGACTCTTAGAACACAGTAAAGTCCTGGCACTCGGACATAGTGGCCGTCATGGATCTCTGTGTCCAGCACCACTAAGATGAGGGAGAGAGAGACTGGCATGTTGCGTTTAGGTAACCAAGCTTGGACATGTTTGTACTACAAGCTTTTGTAAAAAGCAAACTTAATTCCTGTATTATTAATAAGCCTTGCCGCTACATATCCCCCCTTTTTGAAGGTCACGAGGTCCTGAGACGTTGTTGTCTTCAAACCAAAACACAGGATTAAGTGATGCCCCTAGTATCATTAAAACATTAACCTACAAGGTCCACATTATTTTTCGAGAATTCATACAGGAACTAGCATTGGAATCAAACATGATGAATAACATCTGCTAGAACAGATGACAAGTCACACTCACATGAGATACTGACCATCACTTAGCTTATCATAGCACCTGGAGTATGTATAAACAAGGTAGTAGACATCATCTCAGTCTAGGCATTAAACATCAGGAAGTTCACTGTCAGTATCTGATACCTCTGCAGTAGGCAGATATTTGGGGAGTGGTCACCTCCTTTCTTTGACGTGCTACCTTTGACCCATTTATGCTACCCGGAGTACATCATGATGTGAGAGTACAGCATCCAGAGTACCATGCCAGTCATGATCCAGCTGCCCAGCAGCAGCGATAGAATAACAACACTGGTGAACCTCAAAACTGTGTTGGGCACCCACCAGGGCAGTCTGGAGATCTGTTCCATTAAAAGCAAACTCAACTACCTGTACCCCTTCAAGGCTTACTGTTTCTTGGATTTTACTACCCAATTCAACAGTGTGGCCCCTGAAGGCATTCACGACCTCAAGTTTGGTCTTATATTGTCTGACTCTAGACAGTACAGTGTTAAGTCACCAAGACCAAGATGGCCTCCTCAGGAACATGCAGAAAACTGTTTGATTGGGCGGCTGCATTGTGGTAGCTGTATCATGCCTGTGACACATCATAGTGTCAGTTAAATGTGGTGTGCTGACCAGCCATTTACTTCCCACCTGCTCTCCATGGGGTTCATTAACCTCCCTCTGTCCATTATAGTAGCTTTACACCCTTCATTGGTGAATCGTTTAGACACAGACAATGGATAGCTTTGGTAGACATACCCATCTAAAGATTTGGAACCAGGTTCAATCTTGGATCACCTTCTAGGTGAGCTATAAACGGTAGAGTGGTTAATGTTGCATGCTCTTCTACTGAGAAGAGTGGGATCAAGTGGGTTGGGATTTGTCCCAAGGCTAGACTGGCTACAGTGGCACTAAGCTCCCTAAACAGGTCTTGTGTCAACATTCTGGCCTGTTGCACACAAGCGTAAACATACAACACCGACAATCCTGCTCAATGGGTGGAGGATATGAGTTAACCCTGTTGCATAGAAAGTTATCCGTAGGGTTTTCCCTAGGCTTTCCAGCTCCTGCTGCTGTTGATACAGCCTGTCACTAATCTCTGACATCTGCCTGCCCAAGGTCGTCAGGGTGACAGTGTTAGTGGCAAACAGACATACCAAAAATAGCAAACCCACAACAGTAGCAGCAATCAGTGCCCCTAAAAATCTTTTAGGGTGGCTGATCCCATTCATTTCCTCCTGAGTGACTGTCCCCTTTCTATGCTGGCGGAGCATGTACATGGTGTCTTTCTTGGTATGCCATGTGGCATCCTGTGCGACAATGTCCTGGAAATCTGGGGAGATCTGGAGTAGCTGCTGATGCTGCTCCTTGATTTCCAGGGCATCTGCTTTTTCAATTTGTTCATGCCTGTGCTCAAAGAACCCCACTGGGGGTGGTGCAGTGGTAGAGCCTGCCTAACCCTCAGTTTAGTGGTCACCTGGAGCCCCTGAGTGAACTGGAATGATTATCCCATTCTCACTGTTCAGGTCCACCCTACACACCTCCTGATTGAAGAATCCCTCTAACAGCATGTTTGCAATCGTTCGCTGGGGGTGGGTTTAGGACACCTGCTCGCTCCCCCCTTCCCTCGTTAGGGGGTCAGGGAGCTGCCCCAGCACTGGGATAGCTAATTCACAGTCATGGAACTCGCTATCACTCACCAGGCCCAGGTCAGTGCGGGAGGGGATTCCGACACCCCCCTTTGCCATGTTTTGCACTAACAGGCGGGTGGCTTGACCATCCAGCTCCAGTCTGGGTGTACTACCATTGGTCAGACTCAGTCCCCTTCCTGGGAACAGGGTGTGTTGGAATCCCTGCCGTAGAGGCAGGAACAATCAGGTCAATCTCACTCACTACCTGACAGGCCTGAGAAATAATGTTACCTGACTGCAAGTTCCCTGGGTCACAGCAGAGGGGATTGGCATCTGGACTCAGGTGTGTCCACAGCACACTAGACCCAGTGTCCAGCTGAGCCCCCTGTCTAACCTGTGAATGTTGCACCAGGGTCACTTGGCGGTGGCTCTGTGACAGCTGCTCAAACAGATCCTCATTAATAGAAGACTTCTCAGAGCGAAGGGTGAGGGCTACATCACCAATCTGCTCTCCTGCCATCTGGATCTCTTCCACCAACGCGGAGTGGTGGTCCTGACCTGTGGTCCTGGCAGGGTGCAAAGGGAAAACTCCTTTTCATCACCAGGTGAGGAGATCCGCTCCTCTTTAGGGATGTAAAAGGGCTGTGGCAGGGAGGCTGTTGGGACCTTGGCCAGGGCAGGACTTCCCTGTATATCCGGGAAACAAGAAAATGTACTTCTTGTCCAGAGGGAACAGAAGAAATCTCTGCCTGGGCGACTGTGTTCGGTGGACACTGTGTGAGCACAATTTGCCTCTTGACCCCCCTTTCCTTCTGTACAAAGGCTTAGGGGCCTTGACCTGAACCCACAATTTCCCTTGCTGGATATCCACCGAAGGTTCCACTCTAAGTCACATGCCCTTTCCTTTTGCTACCCGTTTGAGCTTGCCGATTAAATCTGATGACATCCAACACATTCTGGACCCAGTGTCAATCAGTGCCTCCTTGTGTATGACGTCTCCCATGGCAACCTTGAGGTAAAAACCTCTGGCTTTTCCTCTCTGTCTTAACTTCCCCAGAAGCCGTCTAGAACCTGCTTTCCCTCTGACTTCAGGGGTGGAGTCAGCACTCGAGTGGGAGTGACTGACCTCATCCAGGCAGGAACCCTTCAGCTCAATCTGATAGACTGAGGGAGGGGGAGGGGGCGGGTCTCCGCCTCTTCCAGTGGAGAGGCGCGTGGCCCGCTCTCCTGAGGTGGAGAGATCTAGCTCATTTCTGGCAGCCTTGGGGAAAGTTTGTCCCTGTCCAAATCAAGCCTGTTCAAGCCTGGCCAGGCGGGCGGCTACCGCATCCTTTTGGCTAGCTTTCTCTAGTCCTTTTCCTCCCCCGGTGTTCTCACGGCGTTTAGGGTTAGGGTTAGGGTGGGTGCTGGGTGCAGTCCTGTATGCCTGCTTTGCGCCAGGGCTTAGCTGGCTCAGCAGCTTCCGCTCCTTCAAGCAGGAGGGTATTAATCCTGCTGGCGGCAAACAAAGTCGCTTTAATAGCTTTTTGCTTGGAGGGACCGTGGACCTCATACTCCCAGGCTTTCGGCACTAATCTCCTAATATCAGTCATTTTCATGGTTTGTGCATCTGCATGCATCACAATCATTTTTCTGACTGACGGGTGGAGATTGGCAATGAATAAACGCTTGAAATTTGCGTTCTCTTCACAACCCTCATAATTTCACCCTGAAAAATAAGTGCGTCTAATTTTCTCGTAATATTCACTAGGGAACCCGGCTCTCTCGTGCTTAATGTGATGGGCGGTGGCCACGGCAGCAATCAGGTCAATAAACGCACTGTACTCTTGGATCAGAGCTTGGCACAGCTCCTCAAAGTCAATACAGACCTCTTTCGTCTGCCTTGCCATCCACTCATGTATGGCTCTGCTGGTAGTTTTTCTCACCAGCAACACTTTCTCCGGTTCTGTGGCATCATGAATATAACTCTCGACATTATTCCTTGACACTGTGGGGTCAAATCTCTCTGTGTCCTTCACTAGCTGTCTCAGCGAGTGGAGTTTATTTTCCTAGCTTCTCCGCTGACAGAGAGATGGCGGAGATCGTGGTCGGGGGGCACACGCCTTAAGAAAAAAACTTTTGTTAATTTTCTTTGCAGCTGTTCTTATTTAGTCCAATGTACATGAATTGAAAAAAACAAAATACATTCAGGTATACAATACATTAATTTAAGTAAAAATAAAACAAAACAGATCAGTGCAATGATAATACACCTGGCTCCTCCAAGAAGGCTCCACGGCCGAAACGTTGTGTTTTCTTTCTTCTTGTTTTCAGCATGGAATAAACCTATTACTTGTTCCTTTGCAGCCTACGCATGCTGACCCAGCAACCCATCTGAACTACTACATGATAATACAATAGCACATTTTGAATGCACATAATGAATAATCAAAATGTTTTTGATTACCAGTTGTCAAAATAAACAGAAGGTGGCTTGGTTAAGAACATGGAAACCTGGGTACAGTGTACGGAATAAAGAGAAGTTATGATATGAAGGATCAATAAACAAGAACTGGAATTTGCCACAGTATACAGATGGTAAGGTACAGTATAAAAGAGCAATAGGGTGGAGACATGGGAAAAGATGAGGGACAGAAAACAAAAGTGAAACAGCAGAATGGGGAGGAAGGGGTGAACAGCAGAAGCAGAAAGACCATGCAGAAAACAGCTGCTGCAGTCAAGTCAGGACAGCACAGGCCATTTTAAAAATATACTACATCACCTCAGAAAATAATAACCAGCAGTTTGGAAGTATGGAAATCAGAATACAAAACTACTCCTATTAAGAAGATAGTTAATCATTAATCACTACAATTCAAGCATAACCAATACAAAAATGTGAATAGCAGTACAACATACTTTATGTTTTGGATCACAAAGTCTGATGAAGTTCTTCACACAGAAGTTCTGCTATTTAATATGGAATCTAGAATAAAATACCATGTTTTCAGTTTTAAATGTAGAATTTAGTGTACAATGCAATTTAGTGTGGCAGTAAATGTTCAGTGGATTGTGTTCATTAGTCTGTGGAAATGGAATGAATCGTAATTAATGTTGTTCTGAGGCTACAACTGAGCAAATCATACACAAAAACATTTTAAAAAATCTGAATTTTGCAAGGCCTGTTTTTACTTAAATTATTTTCCTTAAGCCTAGGTAATGTTTTAATATACAATTTAACAAATGTTTATACAAAAATAGTTAAATATCTTCAACAAGAGGTTGTATCATGTTTGTCTGCTTCAAATTTACATGACAGATGTACACTCCATTATCCCACTTATTCAGATTGATCAACTCCAAGGAAAAAATTCCTTTTTTAAATTCACTTGGAAACAGGCCGGTTTTTGAACTGGATGTCCTGGTCTGACAGATCATCTTTCCCATGAACAAAATCATAGACACTTTTGCCTGTACAGGACCAGAATATTTTTAGCTGGGTTTCATCAATTGGCGTATAACATGGCAAGACAACAGCTCTTCCTTGGAATCCTGTTGTGACGTTCTGTGCAGAGACTGAAGAAAAATAAGTGGGTTAAAAGAAAACCAAGATATGATCTGAAAACAAGAACACAAATTATCAAGTGTGAATGACAATAAATAAAAATAAGTGCAAGTTGTTAAATAAAGCGAGTTTGGTTCAGGCTAAAGCGATGACTGAGGTCCAAATGGTGAAACTGGAATGGTGCAGGGACCAACTAATTTTACATTATCACGAGCACATATGACTTAAAGAACAGTGGCCAAATACTGTGAATACTGTATGCTAAGGAACAGCACATCAAAAATATAAGTGGATAATTCACAAATTTCACTTTATGGACTTACTCTTGTAACAATACATTTCTCAATACTTAATTTTAAAGAAAAGTCTAAAGTGGTAAATCAAAGGTCATATTTAAAAACTAGAATTAAGATAAAATAAATCAATTTGTACATAAGCAGAGAATATACAAACACAAAACTTGAGAATTACGAGAAGTTAACCTTTTAAATTCTGGTTAATATCTAGCAATCTATCTCCTTCTTGAAGTTCAAATGAAAACACCATAACCATATTGTTCACAAAGTACTTTACGCAACACATTTGAAATTTCACAGAAGATTAACTGTAGCTTTGATCTATAGGACATTTACAGCACAACTTGGTTAGAAATGTATTCTATAGATTTATTCCCATGTCGATGTCCTATCAATTAGCCTAGCACCAACACTTTATGCAAAAAGATAAATGAAGATTGCATAACACCAACTTAATTATTAGTGTAACCCAAACAATTCTTAAATTATTTTATGTGAACGAACATACTGTATTGCAGTCATGCATATATTCATGTCTTCTAAAAGATCTTATTGCCAGATAAGAGGATTTACTAAACTTACCAAGATAATTGTTTTTTGGGTTTGGTAAATTGTTTAACAATTAACAATCTGTTGACTTTAAAACTATTTATCAAAAGCAATATTTAGCAATCCACATACCATTAACTCTGCCAGCCAACGACAACACAAAAGATAACTGCAAGCACCTGGAAAAAAGTTTTTTTTTAGAAATAAATTAGGTTATACACCTTAATGTACAGTATGTCTACTCAAAAGTACAGTGTCTTGCAAAACTATAGACTATACATATGCATAACCTATTTAACTTGATAATAATAAAATGTTTCCTGTGCAATGCCTTGCTAAAGTAATCAGAGTCTAGGGCTGGGCGATAAGGCCTAAAATTTGTATCACTGTATAATTTTAATTTTGGATGGTAACAATATATTGTAACGCCCTCGCCCGGTGGTGAGGAGGAAGCGCACCTAGGCACTCATAGTACCTCGGAGCAGGCTGGGAGTTGTAGGCGGGGGGGAGTGTGAGGGTCAGCACGATGACCAGCAGCTGACCCTGCATGTGTAAATAGTGTTATAGTAGTTTTAGTGTCCTGTGTAGCTTTATAAGTGTATAGCCTGTTAACGAATTACCACCCTAACGATCTGTACGTGTTCCGTCAGTCTCCTCATGTGTGTGTACTGTATATACCCTGTGTTTGGTTTTGTGTAGTTTCGATAGGAGAATAAAGAAGTCGCTTGGTTTACTATCACGTCTCCACTAGTCCTTTGTCCTGAGGGAACCTGAAAATGCTACAATATCATGATATAGAATTTTCTCAATTTCAATTAGAACTTGCTTTAAAAGAAATACAAGATTTGGACAGTAAGTTTTTATTGCCTAGAGTTAACTATTAAGTTATTATTAACTGTTGGTGCTTTTAAACAATTTCGTCACTTGTTCCCGTCTCGGTCACTGCCTTTCTCAATTTCTCCGCGTATTTGTGTTTGCACCACGAACACGTGCGTTTGTTTTTATGGAAAAGTGAAAAGGATGCCTGCATGTTTTTATATGCCGCAATGACCTCACACGCGTCATAAACCGGACCTCTGAAGCGCCGAAGATCAATAATTCTGCACCTATGGGATTTCCAAATATCAGAAAGATTAACATTTTCAGAATTATATAATTGGATACGGGAGTATTTTAAACTATGACTGGTCAAGAGCAAAACTTTCCAAACCCCGTTTGGCAACGATGCTGGCAGCGCAATCTGCGTTAACATCCATCCTCTACCAGTATAAACTGTATAGCCAAATCCATATCGTGGCATGTAAGTGTACAAAGCTGATAGACAACTACTCCAAAAGGCTTAAAGAGGAACTGCAACTATGTCTATATTAGTCGTTGCAGTGAGATGTGAGCAGGAAGGGCTGCATCATGTCGCAGTTCTTTGGAACTTTTGCTCTCTCTCACCCATGGCAAAACCAGAAGTTTGCGACAAAATGAAGACCATACAGTACTTTCACAAAGTTCATCATTTTGTGCTTGATACGGAATTTGTCAAATTTTGTGATACAAAATATAATCCTCTATTTGAAAGTGGATAGCAATAAAGTTTATACTATTTATTATGCTAGACAATTTTACAATACATAAAATTCTCCCTCAGCGGTGATGTTTATTTCAGACTTTGAACAAATGTAAAAACTTGAAAAAAGAAAAGCTTGATAATCCCGATTAATTACAAAACATTTAAATGTTTTTGATAAATCAAATATGGTTGATAAAATGTTCTACATGGGGTACTTTTCTCAGAAACTGGTCAACTTTATCCAAACGTTTACTCTTCACCAATACAACAAATTTAGTGAAAAGAACAGAGACAAACAGATCCACTGCACTATCAAATTAAATATATTTTACATATATATTTTATTATACTCCATCCTTGCTCCTGTAACAAAGAACACTGTCTAGATGTTTGAGAGCTCTACAGTTGCACACAAACCTGAAAGCAACAGTAGACTTTGACATGAAAAAAAACAGGGTGATCTGATAGGCTGTTTAGTCTGACACTATTTGTCATTTGTCAGGTACAGGAGAACAGCAAAAAAGCAGTTTGACAGTACTTTTCAACCTGCAACAGGTAATTCACCACAGAAAAGCAAAGTTTAGTTCATGGTTGTTCACTTTTTATTCCCACAAGATCAAGTCAGAACTCTGTTTATCCTCTTGGAGTGACTTCTGAGTGGAATACAGGAGTGAATAAGATTTTGGAGCATGTAAGTACTGTAATATTTCTGTTTCACACAGTCATTCCTGCAGTGGGCCTACAGATGGGCCTTCTTGTGAAGGAACTGGTGAGTGTTAATATTTTCTCAAAAAGGTAATTATTAAACAGAAAACAATAATGTTCAACGTTTTCAGTCAAGTTCGTCTCCAGGACAAGTCTGCAGTCAGAGCAGGCAGTTCACGACACTGCCTATGCAGACATATGAATACTTGCACTTGACAAAAACAAACTGTAGTCAACAGTGTAAATCACTGCACAGGAATGCAAACCTTCCGACAGCACCCTTCAGAGATGTGGGTTTCACCAGGCCTCCCAGCCTGTACAGATTACAGGGTAAGACTGCTTGTCTTTGAATACTGGGTACTGTATGTCGGGAGGCTAAGGCGTAGTAAAAGAACAGCAGGGTCAAAATCCAGGAGTCAAACAGAAGTATCACAGATTGAAAACTAGGAACGAAGCTCAGGGAGAGAATCTCAATCCTGAGCACTGAAAGGGGGTCTGGCGAGGGTTTAAATAGAGGGAAGATTGGTGCGTGCACGTTTAGGACAGGAAGAGCTCGTGGGAATGCGGGAGCGCTTTCCTGCGTGGGAGCGACAGCTGTTTGATGTACTTGCCTGTGACTGGTGTAGTTTTATCTTACTGGAATAACAAGCAGAACTGCAGGTAGATTGGCTTTATAATGAAATATTTTTGGTATATTAAAAAAAAACACAGCGTTTCGACCATGGAGCCTTCTTCTGGTTCCAACACACCTGAAGAAGGCTCCACGGCCAAAAGTTTGGGTTTTCTTTCTTCTCTTTTCGGCCTGAAATAAACGTATTACTTGTTCCCTCACTAGGTGGATATACTGGGAGAGAAAAGATGTTAGATTTAAATGTATACTAATTAAACTACAGTACTACTGATTCAGGGAGAGAAAAATGTATGTACAGTACTATGTCAACCAAAATGGTGGCCAAATCTGATTTTTAATCTATATTATTTTTAATGCCCACAAAAGGCCACAAACCAGTTTGAGATGACCAGGCCATTACACAACCTGCTTCTCTCCAAACCATTTTTGGACCATTAGGCCCTAACCCTAACAGAATGAACAATCTTAAAAATAGGGTTCCCGTGTTGATCAATTATTAATATTAGCTCCAAAGAATAATATTCGGTCCATAACGCCATCTCTTGGTGTATCTCCAATAGAACTAATATATTCTGACCCACACAAAGCAAAATCCACACGTATTCCACAAGACTCAAGCACTAATAAAGACAAGAGCCACACCAAATTTGTGTGTGAAATTCCAGCCTGGTATGTAATGGTATGTACCTCTGGTGAACAGGCACTATAAACTTGTTATACAAAATAAACCAGCTGTGGAATATCACAGATTACTGTCCAGTACCATACTAGGCCCTACTTAACCACACATATGCAGCGCTGAGGAAGTTGATTTGCCTTGGCCATATGTTTTGAGTCACCGTCATGCTGCATGATGAAGTACTGCCCATTAAATATGGAAACATTTTCTGCTACAGAAGGAGACAAAATGGTTCTGTAAACTTCAGAACTATTCTGCTGCGGCCATCAGTAAAGAGGACTGAATCAGTTGTACAGACAGCTTGTAACTAGACACAAGCTCACACATCAAAGTATCTCAATTGCAAGATATTAGTAAATAATCACTTATAAATTCTTGACTTTCCTTCGTGCACCATGCCTTGGGCGGGGACCGGGGGAAGTCCACTGGTTAAGAGTGGAAAGCCGCTCATAGAGTTATTTATCAATTTAATCAACGACAAAGAGCTTCTGAACAGACGGCCAGAGCTATATCTATAACATTTATTTGATAGATATTCAGAAAGAATAGCAAAATGCAATAGTGTTCTGTTAAGAGACCACATTTCAGTATTTACTTAAACTCCATTTACTTTACATTTACGAAACCAGTCCTTATGTTGCAGTCCCAAAACCGTTATCGAGCTGCGTCATGTCATACTGTACATACAGTATACCAATAAACCAATAAATCTTTGTTTTTAAAGCTATAAAATTAACGTAGCCTACACATTTACATTCCTTCTCAGGTTTATGAAGCGCAACCACAAAACGGAATTAAATATTGAGTGAATAACACGTACAGTACTAATGATGGTCTCAGACAATCTTTTGAACGTTTTACATTGGCTAAAGCAGTAAAAGCGTATTGCTGTAGAAGTTCAGCCACCAACATACGAAAAAAGTAATATTTCAGTACAACAACCTACCTTATGATCATCTTATTGACTTATTTCCTTTCAGCTTTCAAGAGAGCTCAGTGGATCAGCACCGCCAAGTACCTTTCTGTGACCGACCGTCACCCCGAGAAGTGATTGGATGATCTTTCGGGTTCAACCCTCTTTCGTGACTGTTAGGAAATGACCGTCCAATCAAACTCTCATCCTGTATAGACCATTTCTAGGCTAAATAGACCAGTCATTACTGACATCAAAATGATCCAATCACAGGTTGGGTGACGGTCAGAGTTCATTGATGTGTTTTTAAAGAAAGGGTTTAGTCCTGTCTCGGGCTGCAGGCTAATGAAACCTGCTGACTAACGAGTCTTTCTGGTGATGGATGGACATGTGTTATTCATCTGTGTATATTAATTGTGCCAGTCTTAATATATGATGTGCTAGGTCACAGAGCGGACCAATCCACTGTAAACAGCCCGAAAATAAGCTGCCTGTCTTGTGATGATGAGCTTTTCCTTGTCTCCCAACACAGCAGGAACTTCAGCACAAGTTGTGCTTTAAAAGAGCCAGAAAGCATAGAAACAAGTGAGGTTAAGAGACTAATTCACCATGGGAAATAGTCAAAAAAGAGCATTTAAAAACAATTCTACCTAAAAAAAATGCATTAATTTATCTGTATATGACAAAGGAACAGACTATAGGCAAGAACTAGTGTGCAAATGAAAGACACTTTCAGCTATTGTGGTCAAACACAGTTCTCGGATTTATGATCTTAGTTGTTTAATCTCTTTTCCGTCAATGCTCCATTCAAAGCTATCCATCTTGTGCAACTGCTGAGTACAGTCAAAGAACAATAGTAATGTCATACTTTAGTTACATTCAGAGCCATTCAGTTTCATTCATGTTATCTGTCAGAAATGATGAAAGTATACAAGTGGCTGAATCAGTAGTACTGTAGGTTTAATGAGTATACATTTAGAATTACATTTCTATAAAAGAAGTTGCATTTAAGCACTACAGTGAACACTAACGCCATGAATTCTACTGCTCAAACGAAGATTACAAAAATGCTACAGTAATTAATAAGGGTTCTAAGATAGATCCCAGTGGCATCACTATACATACAGTACCTAAAAAGTCATAAAGTCACTAATCCTATTGCATTGCTGTCGATTAAACAAATCAGATTTAGGCTGTCATAGGGCCTGGTTAATTCTAAAGATTATCTTGATTGATGCTTCCAAAAGGCAGCAGTTACAGTAGGTCCAGAATAACTAGCATTGAAAATCTGCTCAAGTCAGCAGCCATTAGAACTTCCCAACCTTAACCTAGGTGTGAAAGTGAACAGTGGCACCAGTATCATTCAGCACACACTGTAACCTGCACCCTGCTGCTATCACCAAACATTTCTGTTCAAGGCACCAACAAATGACACAAGCCCTCATGTGATGGGACTGCTCACGCTGACCTCAGGATACAGTACACAATCGTGTTGGGTCATCACAAACTGCCAACTGGTTAGAGGAGCTCAAATCGACAGATTTCCAGCTAATAAATAACAGAAGTTAAATAACGACTGAATTTTTAAAGACACTTGTGAGGTCAAGTGTGAGATCAGAAATCCAAAATAATTGCTCCTTTTTCCCATACTGTGATAAAAATACTTCTTCCATTGCTGATCTGAGTGAGAACATTACAGCTCCTCTGTGCTTTTGTCTCTTCTTCTCTTCTTCCAGCTGTGTCCTCCTGCTGTGCAGCTCCAGAGGGCAGCTCTGCTCTACTGTGTCCTGTGCTGATGCTGAGTCCCACAGACCTCATACACTGCAGTGTCCCTGTGAGAGAGCTCCTGCAACACAGGTCAGAGGTCACTGCTGCTGTCACACAGGTGCTGAGAGGACACTGAGAGGAAATGGAAGGGCTAACACACTGATCAATGAATCAATCAATCGGGCAACTACTCAAATTTTAAGATGGTGTCCAATGTCTTAGAGCATTTTAAAATGGATGCTTGCGTTGAAAGGCATACTAAAACAGTAGTAGAAATATTATATTGGAAATGAATTCAATATTATAATCTCTAAACCCAGTTCCCACTCAGCCTGGCAGCCCTGAGGCACAGGCAGTGTGTGAGGACTGATCCCCACTGCTCACCTGATAGTGTCCTTCAGCCCCCACAGCCTCTCTGCTCTCCTTTCGCACCCGAGTCTCAGAGTGCTGCTGGAGCTGCGATCTCCCCCCTGTAACAGAGGAGCAGATGAACCCCCATCAGCTCTGCTGCACAGGCTGTCCTCCAGTCTCTCTGCAGGACTGTAACCCCAGGACTGTACACCCACTCCCCTCACAGAGTGACCCCAGGACTGTACTACCTCTCTTCTCACAGAGTGACCTCAGGACTGTACCACCTCTCCCCTTACAGAGTGACCCCAGGACTGTACCACCTCTCCTCTCACAGAGTGACCTCAGGACTGTGACAGCCAGCAGCCTCCTCTCTGGTCACTCAGCTCAGCAGCCCTGCTGGGGCCCAGTGCTGACTCTCTATCAGCAGCTCAAAAATAGCCACACGGTGAAGGAACAGGCAGCAGGAGAAACCACACCACGCTGCCGTGTGACTGAAGAGAGAAGCAGGCTGGTGGTAAACCGCACGTAAAAGCCTGCTCAGCAGTTGTTGCTCGTTTTAAAAAAGCACCTTTGTTCCAAAACTTCTGTCTTGAGACCTGCAAATACAAGGTGGAGGCTGTTGTAGCTACTAAGTCTTACTATGTTTTGATAATTGTAAGTCACCCTGAATTAATTGTCAGCTCACTGTGTAAATAATAGTGCAGCATCACTAGGACTGGCTTATTGGTATTAAAATGGCTTATAAAGCATTTTGCTTACCTTTTGAAATTATGATCTCATACCTTCTTTCACCTCAGTAGGATCCTCAGTTTTGCTCCCTAATAACACTTCAAACATAAGGAGTGCTCTCCAGGATTAATTTCCCCTCAACACTGATCCCCATATCCTGCTGTCCCATAAAACAACCATAAAAAACCTCTCCCCCTCACAGCAGCATCCACACTCAAGAATAGGAGCACAGAGAGGACTCTCAGCACTGCCCACAGCCAGGAGCACATAAAACAACCCCTGACTCCACACCCAGCCTACCTAACAGATTGACCCCAGGACTGTACCCACCTCTCCCCTCACAGAGTGACCCCAGGACTGTACCCACCTCTCCCCTCACAGAGTGACCTCAGGACTGTACCCACCTCTCCCCCTCACAGCAGCGGCCACACTGCAGAGCAGCAGCACAGAGAGGATTCCCAGCACTGCAATCAGGACTGGACACTGACAGCAGGGCTGGACCACAGCTGCACTGCCTGAGGACAGACAGGGACAGGATCTGTTCTGACCAGTACAGTGGACAGTGGGAATGAAAGAGACTGAAGTCATATCAGAAGATTTTAGAAACTGACAAACAGAATGAGGGACAGGCAGTTAAGAAGGATTCTGCACCAGTAATCTGAAAGGAATACCAGGGTGTTTAACCATCAGTATAGAGAGAAAGTGCATCCTATGTTCAAGAATTTCTCATTAAAGCAAAAATATTTTTGCTAATACATTTCAAAGTTTTAACACCTTTTTTTCTAAAATCATAGATAAGGTAAACTGTACAGGAAAGACCAGTACAAAACTGTGTTTTCGATTACTGAAATAACTGACAAAAATATGAGTTTATTTTTAGCAAAACATAACTGAAATTTAAGACCTGTCGAGCACGAACATTATTGTCTTCTCTCTCGGATGGTTAGGAAAGATTAAATTAGTTTGTTTTGAAGATTAAACCAAAGATTTAGACTGTTAATCAGGCACAAGAAAAAAAAAATAGGAACAGCAGGGATGGTGTGTGTGGAAGAAGAAGAAATGTAGATAATATTTCTAGAAATTACATTTAAAACCGTATAACAGTTATAGTTATTACTTCAATTTATATTTGTGTGTCTCTCATGAGAGACTTTATATATTTTAGATATTTTAATTTGTGTAATTTTTCCTTCACTTCTGACTTTTACTTAGATTTCAGTAAAATAAATGTTTCCTGAAGACTGATTAAATTAGGATTAATGGAAATTATTGAGGATAATAATATCCCCACTGATACTCACATTACCGCATATCAGTATTCTGGGTCTGTTTCAAGGGCCAAGGATAGATATATATGGGCTAAAGTGATCTTCAGCTGTAGCCTGTTGTAGAAGAGTCTTTTTAAACACTTGTCAATTTTTTTCTTCCTTTCTTTTATTTCTTTTTGTACCACAACTAGATCACAATAAAACTAAGACACTTTACAGCACAAAAAGACATGCTCATTATCTGAAATCTTGAATATCTTCTTGAAGGCATAAGACTGTCTTTTTAGTTTTGTCGTATACACAAACATACCAGACATGAACGTATTCATATTCTACAAAAAAGTTTGATCCTTTTTCATTCAAATCCAGGCTGTTCGAGTTGCATTAAAACAATTGCTGTCTTCTTATATTATAACACGTTGTGCTAAATTTCGGGATATTCTGCATTCTTAGGAATATACAATTGATTTATAAAGTAAAAATAAATCTATAGTACCATTGATTGTCAGAGTGAGTCCTCATGAAATACAATTGAAACACTGTTTTGAAATCTTTATCATCATCAAACAACAGCATATAATTTTTTAAAAGATTGGACAATACGAAAATTAACTACCATGTTTTTTAATTTGGAATTAAGAAATGTCTCTTATTTTAATTTTTTAATTCAGAAGTCTTTTGACTGTTGTTTTAATTATACATACTTATGAGATCTAACTGATTCCGGTTTCAGTGAATAGCAAGAGAGTGGTCTTACCGGTACTACTGATACTCAGTGAGGTACTGTTGCTGAACACAAGAGTGTCGTTCTCTCTCCTAGCACAGTAGTACATTCCTGAGTCCTCATGGGAAATGTTATGGATGGACAGGCTGCTATCTGGTCCCAGTGAATGCCGTGTCCCAAACCCGTTGTAGTAGATGGCCGTGTGATATTCAGGTCTCAGAACCTGCAGTATGACCAGTGGGGACTGGTCTGGCTGCTGTCTGAGCCAATAAGCATAAATCCCCTTGAACGGACACTGGAGAATCACAGTCTCCCCAGTGTGAGGACTCAGTGATAAACAGTGAACAAACAGCCCGCAGAAAAACAAACCTGCAACTGAAATCAAATCATTTCATTTTCCAACTTGTCACACAAACATTTCTTAAAATGAGAAAGATCAACATATATACTTCTGGAGATCAGGAATGAAATATAAAAATGGATTTGAAGATTTGCAGTCTCTCTCTAAGCTATTGTACTTGTTTTAGAAAACCTTCAATAACACCCTGCTTTGTCCTTCCACAACATCTTCAGGCATTTATCTAAGGAGCAGAAATAATGCCACCTGCTGTGAACATGTATGGCAGGTCTCTCCCAGCATCAGAAATGAGCGAAGCCCAGTAAAAGATTTTCTCTCCATACTCACACGCGAGGACCAGTCCAGTTTTCATCTTCTTGCAGAGGTTAGTAAACATGTTTAAATGACGTCTACTTTTAGTGTAAACAGATCACTGCGTCTCGGTGCTAATCGGTACTGACTCCACCTGCAGTAGAAACCGCCTTTCTGTGAAACCAACAGAGGAAGTTTAAACACACTGTGTCCGACACTCATCTGCTCTGGCTGTAAGCACACAGGCTCTGCAGTACTTTTCCATTGGAGATACTTTATGTGCAAGCATTT